GGCGGCTTCGGCCTCTACCAAACCCTCCAGCATCGCTTGAAGACCCGGGAGCACCTTGCAAAGCAGGAGCCCGCCCAGGTAGCTCCCCTCCCCCTCCCGGCGCGGGCCGCGGGAGCGGCTCCCGCCCCGGGCCCCGGTGACGGGGGTGGGCCCGCTCTGGCCCCGGTAGACGTGTGTGTGCAGCCTCACCTGCATTGCTACGTTTCCCCCCCAGGGGTCTGGATCATGCCCATGGCAACATTTGGGGGCCGGGAACCCTTTTCCCAGCCCAGATTTGACTTATTTTATTTTTTTTCCATCCGTCCTTTTCTATTTTCTGCAGAAAATGTTGAATATAGTGTTGCCCCTCTGTTGTGTCCTGTAGCCGAACCCCTCAGATGCTCGTTTTCCCCGTCTTATATCTGCATTAGTTGTCCCTGGACAGACCGGCTTCTGTTTGAAAACAAATCTGCTCGTTAATGGTTCCCGCGATAGGAAAGAATAAAAGGGATGGCATCGGGCTAAAAATGTTAATTAAAAAAAAAAAAAAAAGCTCAATGGCACGACTAGTCATTCTTTTGTTTTATTCAAACGGAAACTTGCAGATTTGCTCAACTTGGTGTGAAGAAATTGGGCATCTCCATTTTGCCTTTGTTTCTTTTTGCTTTCTGCTTCGTGGTTCTGATGCACTACTAGCGTGATGCTGCAGTATTTGGGCTCGCAGACCTGTTTTAAAAAAGGCTCAAATCGTGTTAGAAAAGCATTTCTAGCCATTATCCAAATAACAATCCCCAGTTTGTTACTGGATTTTGGAAGGAAATAACTTCAGTGTTGGAAACAAGCCCTAAACATTGTCGTCTTTGAGCAAATGAGCACATTCCTTCTATTTGTATGAATAAAAAGAATGTGATTGTGGGGGGGCAGGAAGAGCAGCGCTGCTGTGCTGGGACACAGTGTCTTCTGTCAGCTAATTAGTTCTTACCGACCCTCCCCGAGGGATTATGTAAGCAGGTGAACAGATACAAGTTGAAATAAGGCAGTTGTTTGACAGTGTATGCATAATCAGCAAGGCACATTCATGTTGCTGTGGTAGAAGTGCATTTTGTCTAATATTGTGGCCCTGATGCTTCATGACACTCTGCTCATGCTTAGTGTCTGCACCTAGAGCTCTCATTGAATGTCAGGCGTGCCCGCAACGCCAGGTCTTGTGCCTGTGAACTCTCAGCTTGTATAAGAAGTCATTGCTTCCTGGAATAGCCCACTAGATTTTTTTTTTTTTTTTCCTATCATCCTCCTAATTTGAATACTATTGCTCATTACTATAGTATGTGAACACCCTTCTAAAATCAGTAGCAAAGTCCTCAATGGATTTAATTCGTTTTGGATGATTCTTAGATCATATTATTTTTACTGTTGGGCTTTGCTCTGTTAGATTAATTTGTTTCAGAGTTGAGTGTTTTTCATTTGTTAATTTGCCTGCTTTACTGTGGTAGAAGTGCGTGTCAATGTTGTGTCATTCTTGGGGAGAAAGCTCCCTAAACAAAGCCTTATATTCTTAGGAATTTGGAAATATAGGGTCAAGACAAAGGGAAATTTAGAAAAATAGATCTCCTTTAAACATGAAAGCTGAATCTTTGTCATGCCATTGGACAAAAACATGAGTTAACCAGAAGCTGTGAGCCTTGATGTTGATGATCAGGTTAGGAATCCGAATGCCAAATCTCAGCACAACACGAATACGGTACGTGAAAATGATGTTCGAGTTGAACAAATAAGCTTCTACCATCTTCTTCTCCCCACAGCTTCCTGAAGGTAGTCTGCAGCTGACTCTCTACCAGTACAAAACTTGCCCGTTCTGCAGTAAGGTCCGAGCTTTCCTTGATTATCATGGGCTGCCCTACGAAATTGTGGAGGTGAACCCAGTAATGCGGAAGGAGATCAAATTCTCCTCCTACAGGAAGGTGCCCATTCTTCTCACCAACACTGGAAACTCTCTGGTGAGTCTCTTGTGTGCCCAATGCTTGGCTCTTCCAGTAACTGATTCTGAGGTTCCCCTCCAGCATTGGATCACTAGCTGAGCGCAGGCAGGGCTCACACGGTGATTCTCTATTTCCAAAGCAGCTTAGAATATTTTACTGCTCTTTTTATGACTGTAGCCTTAGCTACCACTTCCTTAGTCTCACATATTATGCTGAGATCCCTCCTGCCCTGTTCCCTTCCCCCACCCCCTCACAGCCCAGTTTTTCCCAGCACTGACAATCCCTGCTGTTTCTTAAGGATCACAAAGTAAGTGTGAAGGAAGGTAAGACTGTAAAGTCCAATAGACTTCTTGCTCCCACCCCTATGCAGAAAATGGGTATGTTGTACTGAAGTCAATGGGAACTGCTTTTATTATGTAGGGGAAGAATTAAGCTTAAGGACATGCAGGATTTCAGCCCCTGCTGTGTTTTTTCACAAGGCTGTTTTTATTCTGGCGATGACAACAACTCAAATGGAAACTTGTTGCGTTTGTACTTCATAGTCATTAGTCTCAGCTTTCGAATGTGAAGTCACCTTTGGTTTCCATCATAGACCTCTCTAGAGCAATTAACGTGGTAGATACCAGGGGCAGTGATAATGTTGGGAGCACAAATGTGTCTTTGGGAATAAACAGTTCCAGGGAGAGGGAACTTGGAGATTAGTAGGGCCCCAAGGGGGTTGAGTTGGTAAAGCCTCTTACGTGTTCTTCCTCCTTAACTCCATCAACTTCTCCATAATGATGGTTTTAATTCTGTTTTGCAGCAACTGAATGACTCTTCAGTGATCATCAGTGCAGTGAAGACTTATCTCATTTCCAGGTAGGAAAGCTGAGCCATGAGAGTGGAGTTATGTGAACTGTCCTATACAAACTAGAAAAAGAATTGCCCCATCAGCCATTTGGTTGTTCAATATCTTGTTACCCCAAAAACTCTGTGGCTCTAGACAGACATGTCTGATAAAGCCAGCCTTTGGTGAGCTAGGTAAACCCTGGATATATCTGAGTGTATAATACAAATACAGGGGTTTGGGTTGTAGCCGTGTTGGTCTAAGGACATAGGCAGACAAGGTTCCTTGGGTGAATTTGATATTTTTTATTAGACCAACCCAAATGGTTGGAGAATAGGTATTAAGCAAGCTTTCGGGTTCAAAAACCCTTCATCAGGCTAAGGAAGCTTCAGCAGTTGGTGTGTGCTCTTCCTGCATGGAATCAATATATGTGAGCATAGCTCTTATATTTTAGCACAACCTTTTTTCCCTGTAGAATTCTTCCTTTGCACAAAGAAGATTTTAAACTTGAAGTCTAGTAGCCTGCTGTCAAGATATTGGGCAAGGTAGATTTCACTCCAGATTGCCCTTCCCCACTTGTAGCCTTTTCACAATGCCATTGACACCAGCAGGCTATATTGGGGTCTGGAACCACATTGATTGTAACTGCACTTCGTGGTGGATTGGAAATACTAAAAGAGAAAATACAAACAGGACACAGAAGCCCCTTAGACTTGGAGTTTCTGAGCCTCATAGAGATAGATGTTCACATCAGAATCTGTATTGTCAAAACAGCTGTTATTTTGTTGCACCAAAGAGAGGGTTCAATAGTAGCTGTTTTTCAGCTGGTACAGTAGAATCTGACTGTATTTCTGCCCACAGGAGGAAGAGCTTAGATGAGATTGTGACATTTTATCCTGCTATGAAAGCTGTGAATGATCAAGGCAAGGAGGTGACTGAGTATGAGAACAAGTACTGGCTCATGCTGGATGAAACGGAGACTCAGCAGGTGTATCCCATCAAAGAAATGCTAGTGTAAGCATCCCCATTGGGCCCCACTGAGCTTTTAAGCTGTTTCACAGTGACCCTCCCACATCATCTGGGAGAGCATGAATAGAATCCTCCTAATGCTGACGTTGATGAAACAGGCACCACGGCAGCATTGGAATGGCTTTGTTTGAAATAACTTGCAAAATATAATCAGTGTATGCATGTTAACATGCAGGGGTGCAGAGAGCCTCAAAGACTGCTCCAGTTTCTTTTCCTGCTTGCTATCCTCTGAGGAGAATAGGCATGGCTGACTTAAAGTCTGTCTATGTTGCTTCTGAGTTAGCCAGAGGAAGCACTTCACTGCGGATTCGCAGGAGGCTTCATGAGGGTGGAACGTCAGTTTCTCCTGGACTCTCTGGTCTGACGTAAGTAATCAAAAGGCAGTTTAAAGCTGTAGTTTGTCACCTCTAATTTAATTTTGGAAATAGAGCAGTGTGGTATGTGGAGGATCCCTGCTGACTTCAGTTTAGGGAGGAATGGAGCAGGCTGGCTAGGACCTCAGCTGCACTCCTCTTTTGCAGAAGCTCCAGCTATGGTCATTGGGATTCCAACTGTGTCAGCTCCCACAGCACAATGTGTCTAACCTTGTTCACTAAGAATAATTTCTTGGCATGTTTACAGGGAGGAAATTAAATGGCGAAAGTGGGTGGATGACTGGCTTGTTCACCTCATCTCCCCCAACGTTTACCGCACACCCAGAGAGGCCCTGGCATCCTTTGATTACATTGTTCGTGAAGGCAAGTTTGGCACCATGGAAGGTTTTTTTGCCAAATACGTAGGGGCGCTGGCCATGTTCTTCATTGGCAAGAGGCTAAAGAGCAGGTTGGTACCACTGAGGCAACTACATAGGAGGGGAATCCCTCTTCATCCTATTGGAGTTTGACAGTATTAGGCCTGAATTTCAAATGTGAAATCATTCTGCCTTGTATCCATTTCCTGCCAAAATATCAGTTAATAACTGATCTCAAATTCTGTTTCAAAGATCACTTTGAGTAAGTGCTGAGTTTTGTTTCCAAGGCTCGTTTAGGGGGCTCGAGTGGCTCATCGGTGGAGTGCGGCTCCTGATGCTACGTGCACCCCAGGAGGCACAGGGCGTGTGTGCTCCTGGATCTGCACAGGGCGAGGGAGGGCTGCAGCTACTGCACTGAGCTCTTCCCGGTGGGGTCTGGGCCAGGCTGCACTTGGGGTGGGTGGCAGTAGTGCTGGGAGTGGGGCTATGGGGGGAGGGCAGCAGCCACCCAAAAATTTGCTGTAGCCTCCTCAACCCCACCTCTCTGCTGCCACCGCCCACCTTAAGCACAGCCCAGCCTCTCCCCCCCCGCCCCCCTCCCCCGCTGGGAAGAGCCCAGCACAGGTCCAACCCCAGCCTGTAGTTGCAGCCTGTCCCACTCCGTGCAGATCTGGGGGTACATGCCTCCCATGTCCTCCCAGGGTGCCTGCAGTGGTGGGAGCTATGACCCCCTCCCTGCGCCAGGCGCCTTGCCCCAGCTGTGCAGGGCCTTCCCTGCCGCAACCCCACTCCCTCCCTCACCGTTGTGGGGGGTGCAGATCGAGGCCCCAGCAGTGAGGGAGGGAGTTGAGCACAGGCAGGGGCTGGGTTGAGTGGGGCCCCGGCTGGGCTGGGTGGTGGGACAAGCAGGAGCCCAGGGGGTGCATGTCCCGAGAGCCGCACAACGCCATATGCGTCCCACCACTGGACGGGCAGGGGGCGTGGGGCAGATGCAGCAAGGCTCAAACCCCAGCATGCAGTGACAGCTACCTCCACCCTGCACACAGACTGGGGGGGCATATGCTCCCCAGGCCTCTGCTTGTCCCACCACCTGGCCCAGCTAGGGCCCCACTCACCCCAGCCCCTGCTCCTGCCTGTGCCCCGCTCCCTCCCGCCCTCCCTCCCCCCTGGGGCCTTGATGTACACCACCCCTTCCCCCACAGACTTGCCTGTTGGGGGGTAATTTTTTTCTCCCTCCACCTATGCTGAATGGTGCAACAAATGGGATAGGAATCGGAAGTAGTTTTTGATCCTTTAAGCTGAATGATAATTTGAAGTGGTGATCATTTTAGAATTGGCATTCCACTGTAGATCCATTAAATTTTCCCATGGCTGTAGTGACTAAAAGCCTTTTCTACCCTCATATGAAAAGGATGTTGGGATTTTTCCTTTTTTGGATCTCATCTATCTTCTTAATACAAATGCCCTTTTTAATCCAGTTTTTCAGTGCTATAACTAACATTACCAAGATACAGTGACATCCAGAATTACTTTTCTGGATTTTTGGAATATTGGCTCTTTAACCACTAGACCAAATAACTTCTTAACCATTTACTCCACTTTGCATATTATTTGCAGTCATTCAAGTAGGGACTATTGCTTTGTGGGCTACTAAACCACTCTGCCTTTGAAATGCAAAATACTTGGCCTTTTCATTTAGTTTCTTAAATATATTGCAATTGGTATAGCCTAATCCATGGGAAGAGTAATGATGGAAGAAACAGAAAGAAATAACTGTGTTAAAGAACAGTATAACTTCTCTTCATACAGACATCACCTTCAGGATAATGTTCGGGAAGACTTATACGAAGCAGCCGATGACTGGGTAAAAGCTATTGGCAAACACCGACTCTTCATGGGAGGCAGTCAACCAAATCTTGCTGACTTGGTAAGAGGCTGATCAGGCCCATGGATCTCTGTATGTTCATGTACATATAACTCTCTCATCCAGCCATCTCTACGCATGGTTATTGGGGTGATATTTTATGTATAATCATTCTGTTTTTGGTCTAGATGTCAGAGAAATATTACAAGGGTAATAGGAATTGTGGTGTCTGCCTGCCAGCTGTGTGTCATGCATGTTGGGGGAGAGCTTATTCCACTGCACATATGAAGAGAGGTCAAGAATATGCAGTCAGTATGGGGCTGTGTGTGTAGATTGGCTTCCTGATAGTTGCCTGCCCACCAGGACACGTACTCCAAGCGTGTACCTTGCAGACTGCTCGGGGGAGGGTGGTGTTAGTTATCTGGAGCAGATTGCTGCAAGCTTCCAGTGCTACAGCTGGATACGAATGAGCAGAAACTTTGACCTGTAAGGAGCCCTGTTGACTTGAATAGGACTCCACAGGGGCATCAGGACTGCCTTACAAAAATTACACTGTAGGGTTGGGATCGTAAACTATCTCGTCCAGCACCACCAGCTCTCATTAAAATTAAAGTGGCTTCTGTTTTACTTTGAAACAAAGTCTGCATAAGTAGGTAGAAATTTTACTGGGTGCTTTTCTGTCAGCTCTGTATCCATGTCACTGCCTTTTAGTCATTCTTCAGTTATATCAAACCCTGAACCCTGTACCTGCTTTGTGAGTGTGCTGCTTATGTTCCTGTCTAACCTGTGCAATGGTCTCAATCAGCCTGGCTAATCAGAGTGCTGGAATAGGTTGTAGGGCAGAGAAAGAGCTGTCCAGCACTTGTGGAACACTTAGTCTGGAATGGAGAACTTCAGATTTGAGTTGGTTGTTTATCTCAATTTCCAAACTCTGTCCTCTGTTGGCACAGGCGGTGTATGGAGTCCTCCGGGTCATGGAAGGGCTGGAAGCCTTTGACGACATGATGACTCACACCAAGATTCAGCCTTGGTACCATCGCATGGAGACCACCATTAAGGAGGCTGTCATCACAAATCAGCATCAGCTGCACCTGCCTGTCTAAAGTCTTCACTCAGGAAAAGCTTACAATGTTTTTAATTTTATTGAAAATGAACTAGGTTGGCTTCTCCTTAACTGAAGTGCATGCCCACAGACTGTCCCATTTATAGCTGAGAAGGGCCTCCATGAGACTAACGGAGCAGGACAGGTGTGCCTGGTTTTGCTATATATAGGTGTGAAATGTTGAATAATAGGAACATGTAACATGACCCTGAGCTTGGATCTCATTGGAAATGAGGGCATGTTCTGATTAAGCAGCTGAGTGCAGCAAACTGACTTTTTGCAAGGGCTCAGGGCAGGCTATTTATTATAACAAATTCCTGTAGTGGCTTGTTGACATTACAGCCAAAAGCAGATGTTTCAGGTCTATCCAGTTATGGCATCAGGCCGTATCTCCACTCTTCCAAGTTAACCTAAGGATCTTCCAGGCTGTTTGAGATACCAAGTAACTCTCAAATGACATTCATGTTTATCCTGCAGTAAAATATAGTTCAGCACTGAGAGGGATCCCTATATGCAATGGAAACGGTGCTGCTGTCTGCAGGCCGTATGCTTCCACTGCTTTCATGATAATGGCTGTCTCTTGAGCTGATTCTGCACTGGCAGGGATGATACAGGCTTGCTTCTTTCTCTGCGGTTGTCAGTACCTCCAGCCTCCTGGCTATTGAGAGATGGGGAATCGGAGAGCACAACCCAGGCTGCAAATCATTATTTTGAAACGGTTATTTAAAAAGAGAAAACAATAAACCCTCTTCCTCTCATTGGTTACATGTGTTCCTGGGAGCATGGGTTGTGGGAAGGAAAGTATGAGCGCGAGTGCGTTTTACCCTCTGGGGCAGCTCTGTGGCTGCATCTCGTGCAAAAACAACAAAGGTTTTGCTGTGGGTGATAGGCGGAGGGAGCCGCGGCTCTGGGTTACACTTTGTACTATGAACTCTTAGTGGAACTAGGATTTTTCTGCCTGTCTCAGTCTGCTGCTGGTGCTTGGTGGAGACGCTGCTCAGGTTGCTGCCTGGGTGTGAGACGGTGTGGAGGGGCGAGAGCCTCCAAACAGCCCCAGGTGTTCCTTTCCCTTCCTTTCCTTTCCTTTCCTTTCCCTGGTTGTTAGCTTGGAAGGGGTCGGGGCAGGAGCTCTTCAAGGCAAGCGATGATTTGGGAAATTGGGGGGTATTAAATATCTGTCTCAGACTGGCCCCCTAGGAAACCTCCTGTGGTCCCGAGGACAGCTCCTGCCCTAAGGTGCTTCTGTCCCAGAGGAAGCCACGTCCTGGATAACGAGCTGGTATGGGGTGTAGGTCAGCTTTGAACCAGGAATTGGGCATAAGATAACCCGCTTCAGCCTCGTGGGAAGACGGGGAGGGAAGAGAAGAGAGGGTACCCCAGTGCTCCCTGAGCCCCGCCCCCCCACCGCTGTCCAATCCCCGCCCGCGGCCGCCTCGCGTTCCCATA